CTCTTTCCCCACTTTTCCCATGGAGTCAGTGCCAAGATGAGAGTTAAGCCTTGACCTCGCAGATCATTTCTCACTGCCTAGGACTGTGGTTCCTAGTAAATTGGTTCACATCAGATTTGACTCTAAGGTGAGATTTAACACATTAATTTGAATTTAAAAAATATCTTTAGTCAGAAATGACTAACCAGGAATCATGTTTTAAGTTATGCTACTTATATTAGAAAAGTAATACTCTCTCTGTATACACCAGAAAAGCTTTTCCACAAATAAACATTTATTTCCACTTAGACATTTGAGCCTAAGAACCACTTTGGTTTCTAAATATATACAATATAGATAATGTGCATGGAAAAATAGGTTATAACAAACCTGATGTTAAAAGATGGAAATGATAGTCAAAATGAAGTCATTTGCCTTTTGAGTTTATTTTACAACAATGTGCAGTTGCAATGACATGATTTTTACTGCACCTGATAATTGCAATTGTATTTCTCAATTTAGCTGCTAGGGCGCTTACTCTGTAAATTGATACTTGCTTACTGAAGTTGACTTTCAAATTTAGGAGCTCTAACACTTAAAAAATCAATTAGATGTGTAGGTGGCCAGGTATCTATTTGTTCTAAATGCCTAAGTGCTATTTTGAGTGGTTACAGAAATTTGTACTCTGAATAGAGACCCAGGTTATAAAATTGAATTCTGCCTCATTAATGATGCCCTTACATGATATCTCTTTATCAATCAAACTTGCTATATTACCTTTAAAAATGTCATATAAAAGGTATCAGATTTCTCAGCAAATGCTATTTCAGGCTCACATATAACATTGCAGGAATATGCTGCATTTGAAGCTAAACGTAAAAATTTATTAGACCAACCAAAAGCTTCTTTCAAAATCAAAACTGTTGGAATTTGTTGAATTCAAAGAAGTCCTAATTCTAAGGGTTGAGTAATTTAAAAGCCTTCTAATTAGTAAAGGCCAATTATATTCATTAATTATTTTATAACAATAATGATACTGTTCATTAAAAATAGCCACCAACACTTCTTCTCCAATGACAGTGCTTTTAAACTTTTCAATGTCTGTAAGATCTAGATTGTACATTAGCCTATCTTCATTTAAATCAGTGATGGCGAACCTTTTGGGCTCGGCGTGTCAGCATTTTGGAAAACCCTAATTTAACTCTGGTGCCATGTCACATATAGAAATTTATTGATATTTGCAACCATAGTAAAACAAAGATTTATATTTTTGATATTTATTTTATATACTTAAATGCCATTTAACAAAGAAAAATCAACCAAAAAAATGAGTTCGCGTGTCACCTCTGACACGCGTGTCATAGGTTCACCATCACTGATTTAAACTGTAAAAAATAGTCTCTCAAATGGGGTAAAATGGAAAAATAGGCTCTCAATCAGGGTAAAATGTAAGAATAGGCTTTCACACAGGTTAACTCTGGAAATTTAGGTGTGATTGAAATTAAACTAATGTATACCAGTCACATATTCATTTTATTTAAGAAAAGTCAAGATAAAGCAAGATTCTGTTGCACAATGTTGCCTCATTAAAAGAAATGCTCTGAATAGTTCCTCAAGTCTCAGAAGCCAACAAAAGTCAGTGATCCCACAAAAGTAAGCTTCTGAGAGGCAACAAGCTAACTAAAAGTCTCATACCACTTAGGAAGAGCTGGAGTCTACGCCTTCAACAGGAATAGGCAAAATATTTGGAGCTGCTGTTTTGTCAATAGAAAGATTGAGTGGAATGAAGAACAGCCAGGTTTGGAAAGCTTACAAACAATAAGTGCAACTACAACTTAGCAATGAGAGGGGAGAAAGAGGTCCTGAATATAAACTCTATGCTTGAAAAGACAAATATCCCACCTAAGGCCAAGATGAATGAAATTAACATAGCAGTAATCCAGTACCACTGCAGATCCTCCCACCCATAAGAAAGCACAATAGAAAAGGGCAATTTCCCATAGGCAATCTTGAAGTTGATAATGTCCAAAGTTAGAGCTCAAAATATGATATTTTAACCTCAAATGTCAATCCATTCAGTCATCAAGTACTATGTAGACTGATGCATTCTTGCTCACAAGCCTGGTGATTGAGAAAAATATATATGTAAACCCAATCTATATATATAAAACCCTAATATGCAAATAGACCGAACTGCAGAACAACTGAACAACTGGTCACTATGACATGTGTTGAGCACCGGGGCACACTTGGAACAGAACAGGCATCGGTCATGGCGGGATGGTGGAGCAGGTGAGCAAGGGCGCCAAACTAAGGTGGGGAACTGTCTGCTGTCATTGGGTGAGCCTCTGGTGGTTACTGAAAATTATTTGTTCATGGGGACTTCTGTCCCATGTGGTGCTTGCACCTGCTGCTGGCGCCAGAGCCACCACTTGCACTCACTCACTCCCGGCCCCTGACGCCAGCCCCAATTGCTCGGTACTGTCAGTGGGTGTGAGCTGCAGCTGCTGGCCCCAATCAGGGCTTCTCCACCTCCCCCTGCTCCTGAGAGGCAATCAGGGCAGCAGCCACAGCTCACACTCTCTGATGATGCTAGCCCCACACACAACTGCTGCAGCACATGGGAGCAGTGGTGGTGGGAGACAGGCTGCCTGCTGAGAGGGGACTGGGGGCCACAGTGGGAGGGACCAGGTGGGGGCACAGAGGATGGCTGTGATCCACCCCGGTGCCCACCACAGCCTCACAGCCCACACTTACTTTCAAGGTGCACAAATTCATGCACTGGGCCCCTAATTGGATATATAAAAGGATCAGGGAAGCACTCATCTTGGATGCACAATGCACTTAGTTTACACAGCACTTGAATGCCCATAACCTCTATATATTTTCATATAACCTTTTAAGGAAAGTAAAGCAGGGATGATTTCTTTTTCTGATACAGCTGAGAAATATTTGGCTCAGAGGATAAATGCAACTTGCTTAATTTATGTATGACTGATACAAGAGTATCCAAGACAAACATAGATCAGTAAAATGATAGTAAAATTCTCTTCTGATCTCTCCACTTGATTCAACTCAGGCAAGGGTGTGGTGTAGCAAAATAAATATCCACTATAATTCCTGACCCTCTGTTGTCCTAATGATAACAAAAATGTGAATAATTATACCTGTCATTTCCTGAGCACCACAATCTTCCAATATACTTTACCAAAGACCTGAGGTTTAGGAATTACTACTTAATCTAATCATCAACTTTTTGGAATTTATCAGTACAAGGAAAAAAAAACACACACACACAACACAACCCAATAATACATGTTAGGATCATTTTACATAAGTTTTAGACTTAAAAATTCAGTGAGTTAAGTATTGTAAACCAAATCACATAAATATTGTTTATAAAAAAAGTTTCTTTTCTCATGTAAGTGTATAAACATGCTTTAATGATCTAATATGAAGATTATAATCTTGTTATATCACTAGACTTGCTTAAAATGTTCACCACTATCGATATATCATCAACCATTCATCCATCCATTCATCCATCCACTCACCCACTTGTCTACCCATCTACAAACATACATGTATGGAAATACCTACTTGGTTTCTAGTCTCAGAAAAGACCTTGCTGATCTTCTCTAGACCTTACACTTTGCATCTTTCTCAGAAGAGCAGGCTGGTATGAAAGTCCTTCCTTCCCATATAACCTGTGAGGCAGATTCACATGACATTTGGCTGTGGTCCATGGTGACAGGAGGTCTTTGGCACTTCATTCAAATAATGTTAGTTGTCAGGAACAAGCGTAGTCCACCTGTGTGTGCTAGAAGTACTTTCAAATAATTGCTAATTTTGTTTTGGAGAAAATAACTGCAAAGAAATGAAAAGCTGAATGGAAGGACTTTTGTTTGTATAATGAATATTTATTACACCAGTTTTCTTAAAATTAGGATTGCACATGTTTAAACTCTGCAATCAAAACGTTCACAGTATACAAAGTAAATCCGAGTCACCTGTACAATGATTAGCTGAGTAACTTTTGATTTTAAACCCAAATACCCATTGCCATCCTCCTTTTATTTCTTCACTAAATATCATGTTTGTAAAGCTACATTATAAGTTTTTACAACTACTACAGTATGCATTTGTCACCTCCTACTTTTGTTCTATTGTTATGCATACCTTTGTGTATATGGATGTATCAGTATTTGTATTTGTGTATGTGTTTCTGTGTGTGAGTGTGGATGCTCTTACCAAAATGTTGAGGCATTCACAGTAAATCAAAACAAGCCATGGGGAAAACAAAGATGTCTGCAGGTGTACCTGAGGAGTATGAAAGCACAAAAGTCTCTGGAGTGTAGGGGAATCAAGGAGACCACAAAAGCCCCATTTTAACATTCTATTATTCACACACATACACAGATAAATGCATACACACACATACATGCAACTTTTAGCATACTGTAGTCATCATCACAATAGAACATATAGGCTCATTTTTGAAATTGCTTATTCTAAGAATCCAGTGTGGGGATCATATATCCCAGTTAATTTTGCCAACATGCTGATTCTCATTTTCCTGTTGGGGATTATTTAAAAACACAAATAGTTTGTTGATTAGTGAGAATGGATAAAGGAAAGACAGAAGTTAGTAAAATAATCTAGCTATGTGACCAATTCCTCTACTCTCACGGAAACATACTAGTACACAGCCACATTGTGAAATGTAGAATGTATTTGGCACCTGGCAATGTCTTTTGTTACTTCATTTTATGCCTCAATACTCAAAAGTAGATATTATTGTCCTTGTTTCATAGGTGAGGAAACCGACTTTGAGGGCTTGAGAAACTTGCCTAAATCACATAGCTAGAGCTGATGCAATTTGAATAGGGTTCTCTACCTTTTCCAAAACCATTTCCACCCTCCGTGCCAAAGGTCTCAATTTTGGGTACATGTACTACCTGGAGGGTACATAGTCTTCGGGCAGGAAGTCTAAGCAATTGCATATAGCATCATATGTGTAAGTCCATTTGATGTTTTTTTGGGGAAAGGAACTGGAAGTTTCATCAACTTCTAAAAAAGGTCTAAGGCTGTGGTAGGCAAACTGCGACTTGCGTGCCACATGCGGCTCTTTGACCCCTTGAGTGTGGCTCTTCTACAAAATACCACAAAATACCACGTGCAGACGCACATGTACAGTGCAATTGAAACTTCGTGGCCCATGCGCAGAAGTCGGTATTTTGTGGAAGAGCCACACTCAAGGGGCCAAAGAGCCGCATGTGGCTCATGAGCCGCAGTTTGCCTACCACTGGTAAGGCGCCAAAAAGATAATGAACTACCATGATTTCATCCTAGTGCTTAATAGGACCTGGTGTGAATGGCAATACTTCCCTAGGCCCATCCAAATCTGCCTGCCAGCAGGCACCTGTTCCTCCTCTGTGCTCCTATACTCTTTGCACTCTACTGTAACCTTGGTATTTGACCTTGTTTGGTTGTTATTTGTGTATATATTTCAGTTGCCCTGCTAGAGATAAGTTTCTTGAATGTGGGACATAATCTTGTCCAACATTGTCTCCCTCAAAACCCTAGAACAGTACTGTGGCCATAAGAAAAGGTAGAAAAATGTCAAAAGAAGTTCATTTGATGACTGCTTATTATTTCACTTTTATTTCTGTTCTTGAGTTTTGGTTATTGAATTCTCGTTACCTAAAAGGCTCACCTTCACCTTGTTTGCTGGCCAATCTCAGGGTCCTCACATGCAAGAAAGGGTTTATGTTTGCACCTTGTCATCACATAACTGAATACACATTTTTGTGTGATTGTTGTCTGTCTCAGATATAATATGGACTCTTCAGTTCATTGGGGCATTCATTCACTTATTCAGCACATATTTAATGAGCATATACTATGTGCCAGGTACCATGACTGCAATTGGCAAAATTACACTCATCTTTTCTTCTGACATGTTTGGATGCCCCATAAAAAGTGAAAGTTCATTACACATGTAGATGAGCTCAATACATAATAAATGAATGAATAACTATCATGCTTACCTTGAGATTGTTTTTGTTCTTTATTATGGCATGCAGCAGGCTAGTTTTATTCATTCCATCTTCAGAAACATTGGTTTTCTTTGAAAACTAGTATGCTTATTAAGAATTATAGTATTCATTAAGCTTAAAAACTAGTTTCTAGTTAATTGAGATAGCAAACAAAATAAGCACCTTCATATTTTCATTTGAAATCAAGACATATAAATGTCACTGAGACTCTTTAAGTAAGCTAAAGTAATTGACTCTCTGCTCAGTGATTGGAAGTGTCAAAGCTTGTAATTCAGTGACACACAACCTTGGGATTTTATATACCTGAGAAGGGAAGGGGACAGGGGTAATAGTGGAAACTTATTTTAAGAACAATCAAAATAAGAAGGAGCAGTGTGGGTTGTTCTAACTGAAATACATTTAGATTGGCAAGGTGAAAGAAAGAGTGGCGGAGCTTCCATTTGGCATCAATTAGTAATCCAGGATGTTACCCAACTGACCAAAAAACTGAGGCCACTCATCTGGGATGTAATTCTATCAGAGGCCTTCCACTTCTCAAGATTATTTTTTTCAAATACCATATAAATGAATAATTAAAGAGGCAATTAAAAATAAATATTAAGAGTTATCTGCAACCATGTTCTTAAGGCATTTTTATCCCATTTAAATTTTAAAGGTAATTATATTGTCTACTGCCAAGAAAAGTTAACACTAATTATTGGAATAAATAATGCTGTACAGATTAAATAGGAATGCAAAGACAAAAATGCCTAATGGCTTATTCAAAATAGGAAGCATGGCACTATTGTTTTTAGTTCTAAGTACTATATTCACTTGATTTATGAAGATGCAATTTTTAATCTTCTATTAGAGAAATCTTTATTTTCTGTTATACAACTTTGACTTTACTGTCAAATTCCCATTTTAAAAAATAGTAATGTATTCTCAGCAGTGATCAAGTACAATCTTTGCTTGTTTTAATATATAGCTTTGATGTGGATATTGTCAAATGGTTTGGCAAGAAATATATTTATGTCTACCTATGTAAATCACATAATGAATTATATCACAATAAAATCCACAAATTGAATCTAATAATTCATAAGTAATTTATTTTCCACCCAATAGGTATTTTAACATCCTCAAGCATTTATATATCATGGATATTTTAATATTATTTTTTACTAATTTTATTTAAGAGTTTAGCCAGTACCAAAGCAAATGTAAAGAATGTCTTTTTGTTAGGTTTTTTTTTTGTGTGTGTATAGAAGACATTCACACTCAATCTTTATCTTCCCAAACTCTAAAGGCTAATTTCAGGAAGATTCAATTATACACTGCAGCTGCAAATTCTGTTTCCTCCAAGAAGGTGAAATGAACATATTTATATGTTATGTACAAGTCAAACTGTAGAGACTCCTCATGTTGTGGTGACCCCCAATTTCATTGTTACAAATTGAACATAATTAAAGCATAGTGATTAATCACAAAAACAATATATAATTATATATGTGTTTTCCAATGGTCTTAGGCGACCCCTGTGAAAGGGTAGTTCAACCCTCAAAGGGGTCGCGACCCACAGGTTGAGAACCGCTGAACTAGATGTTTATTTCCATATGGCTAATATATTTGCTAGAGCATGCCAACTAAGTAACTTATATCTGTATCTTTGAGGTGTAGAAAAAAGTTACATGTAGCACTTGACTATTTTTGATGCAAGCACTCTCAGATAAAGGTCCAACCTCTAGCCTTTAAGGTCGTTCCCATTCCTACATCAGTAATGTAGCCTAATAGAAGCCTAATACATTTAGTTAAGCCAACTGTACTGGTTGGTTTTGCTTAGTCCTTCCAGCAGCAAGATTCTGTAATTGTGTACATTATATCACTGTTCTTAAAAAGGTGTCTTCTGATTAAGGGTGTTGATTACTTTTTCTTTTGAATGCCCAAAGTTTTAAGTTTAGAGTTCAAGTTTCAGCTGTCACTAGATGCCATGGGGCCTTTGGTGAGACCTTGTCCAGCCTGGCCTCTATGTCCTCTAACTGTGAAAAATGAGACTCTCAGCCCTTAAATCCTCTTACAATAATTTCAAAATAAGTAAGTACATAAGAGTCACAGAGAGATTTTCTAACAGTTGAGAACAAAAGAGGAGTGGATAAGTAAAATAAATATATTATGATTTATTTTCCCATATTGAAAATACAATTTCAATTGTAACTATGGAGTGGAAAAATGTTATAAGATCAACTCTATTCTTTCCTCATGCTTCCACTACCAGAAATTCATGACCTTAACTGAAAGGCAATGACCATGTCCAAAAAATAAAGGCAAGGAGCAGAGCTGATCAGTTTTGAGGTAACAATTCAGACAGCCACAATAACCCTACTCCAAGTCCACCAAAATAAAATGATGCAATTTCTCACTGAAGATTATATCATGGGTGTGGGAAGGACAGTGTTAAATGGAAGGTTACCCCAACTCTCCTCTCTAAGTAAGTACATTCCATGTGTAGACATTGAGTCTAAAGGAAAAAGAAAATCAGGATCATAGCAAAGTCCACAGCTATCATTACAAGAGAAATTCAACTGGAAATGTGTTCATTTGACTTGCCAAAATTACAAAATCAAAACATAATTTAATATACTTCATAACTTCATATTAAATGGTTAATTCCACTTTTGCTATTGCTAAGAAAGTATTCAGCATATTTCTCATGGTCTCTAAAGTCCTATAAAATCTTTCCAATTTAAGATATTTATTTTTAAGTGGTGAACCAAAAAGGCCATTGTTAGGAAATAAATTCTTCATTTAAGCATAAGAAAATAATGTTTTCTTTAGTACAAAACTTTGTACAAGCAGCCCAAGTGTTCATCAGTAGATGAGTGGGTAAAAAAGCTGTGGTACATTTATACAATGGAATACTACTGGAATGTAAAAAATAAGGAAATCTTACCCTTTGCAACAACATGCATGGACCCTGAGTGTATTATGGTAAGTGAAATAAGCCAATGAGAGAGAGACAAGTGCAATATGATCCCACTTATATGTGGACTCTAATGAATAAATAAACTAATAAACAAAATAGAAACAGATTCATAGATATAGAGAACAGACTGATAGCTATTAGAGGGGGTATGGGGCTGGGTGGAAAAGGTGAAGGGATTAAGCAAAAAAAAAAAAAGATACTCATAGACACAGACAACAGTATGGTGATTACCACAGGGAAAGGGTTGTGGGGGATGTAGAAGAGGGTGAAGGAGGGATAAATGGTGTTTGAAAGAGACTTGACTTGAGGTAGTAAACACAGAACAATATACAAATAATGTGTTATGGAAGACACTTACATGTTTTGTGAAGATTTGGTTGTCAAAGAAAAGAATCTTGGGTCACCATATACCTCAGAGTAATTTTATATCCTCTTTGTTGAATTCCTCTTAATGATCCATGTAATCACTGAATCTTATCAATCAACCTTAAAAATTTCTCTCAAAAGCAGCCATAATTCAAATTGCTGGCATTTCTGGCCTAGAATATTTTCATAGCTTGCGCAGTTCTCTTTCTGTCTTAAACCTCGCCAGCCCTATCATGTCTATTACTCCCTTCCCCCGACTCTCCTGCCAATCCTCCCACAACACGATTTTTCTAAAAAATCAGCTGCCTTACATCTTTAAAAGACTCTGCATCACCTAGAGCTGATACCAAGACTTCAGTCTTTCCAATTTCCCCCTTTAGCTCCCCAAACACAGCTGGTTCTTTTCTGTCTCATGAATCTCAGGAGTCATCAGGCCCATTCACAACCTGATGTGGGTTTAACATCTTCACCAAGAAAACTTCCAATCACACTTCAAGAGCTAGCACACAAGTCACTACCTCCTTAAAAACGCCTTTTATTTTTTGTGTCCATATTCCCCTACTTAAGCTACTTATGGTCTGGGAAGATCAGAAATGCCCTCCCATACAGCTGCTAGAAATTGAGACCAGGACGCTCACCCTGAGTGGGGCCTCACTAATTTCTTCGTCATCTCAATTTACCAATACAGAGCATAGTGCCTGGCACACAATGGGTGCTAAATAAAGTTTACTGAATGAATAAATGAATGAAGTTAATGGGTAAGAGAAAATATGGGGTTTTATAGGTATTCTCATCTAATGGATCTATCCAACAATGTATATAATAAAACTTTATGTTTAAAACATAACAATTCATAGTATCAAATTCAATGTCAACAACTCAAAATGTTACACATTTTTACATTTGTCTTTTGGCCAAATGTTGCACTTAAATATTAAATATGCAACAAGACCATGTTCATTTTTAAATCACTTTATTTTTCAATTATAGTTTATAAACAATATTAGTTTCAGGTGATGAAACACCATATTACCTTCTAAGTGATTTATTATAGGTATATTGTGGATTCAGACCAAACTCTGTGATGTGGGTCCTTTTTATCCATCAGTCTTGTCTGGGAAAGCATGCTAGATCTTCCCATCTTCCCAAGGATATGAAGGCTACATTTACTCCAGTGAATAGAGTAGATATACAGAGAGACAGTTTGGAAGCCTCAGCACACAGGTAAGGGGAGCTAAAGGGGGACATTGGAAAGACTGAAGTCTTGGTATCAGCTCTAGGTGATGCAGATCACTTGATGAGGACCCACTCAGGTTGAAATTGTGGTCTGCATTTCTAGCAGG